AGTAAACAATCAGCTGCCTCTTACAGCAAATAAGTTTATTCATTATCAAAGGAAATTCTTATCCGTTCGCATCTGTACTAGGAAATGAATATAGGAAAACCTACTCGCTCCAATGTACAGATCGAAAAACTCGCCCCCTTCGATTGAGCGGAAATATGAGTATTGGACAAATTGTAATGTTTCAAAAGGTTGAAGGATCAACGATGTTAAATGTCCAAAGTAAACATTCAGCTGCCTCTTACAGCAAATAAGTTTATTCATTATCAAAGGAAATTCTTCTCCGTTCGCATCTGTACTAGGAAATAAATATAGGAAAACCTACTCGCTCCAATGTACAGATCGAAAAACTCGCCCCCTTTGATTGAGCGGAAATATGTATTGGACAAATTGTAATATTTCAAAAGGTTGAAGGATCAACGATGACAAATGTCCAAAGTAAACATTCAACTGCCTTTTACAGTAAATTAGCTTAGCAATTATCAAAGGAAATTCTTATCCGTTCGCATCTGTACTAGGAAATGAATATAGGAAAACCTACTCGCTCCAATGTACAGATCGAAAAACTCGCCCCCTTCGATTGAGCGGAACTATGAGTATTGGACTGATTGTAATATTTCAAAAGGTTGAAGGATCAACGATGTTAAATGTCCAAAGTAAACATTCAGCTGCCTCTTACAGCAAATAAGTTTAATCATTATCAAAGGAAATTCTTCTCCGTTCGCATCTGTACTAGGAAATAAATATAGGAAAACCTACTTGCTCCAATGTACAGATCGAAAAACTCGCCCCCTTCGATTGAGCGGAAATATGAAAGGATCCAAAACACTATAAAAAACTAACAATACAAACAAACAGTTTCAATACAAAAACAGGAGCAGCCGAATCTTAAAAAAAATTATTTTATATCTGTCATACATTAAAAAAGTACAGAGACGTTCAAGTCCTGTTAATCCAGTGGAAAATCAGACACTAATGTTCTAATTTCCCCCAAAGAATATGCCAGATAACTATAAAACATTAAAATTCTGAAAACTTATGCTCCAAACAAGAGACAAAATTACTACAATAGTTACTGAGGAACGTATACTATATATTTAAACAACAAGTTGACATTTAATTACCATAAATGAGTATGTGTGTCTTTGTATAGGTAAAAATGATTTAGGAGTCACCCCCCATTGAAAAGTAGCAAAAATATAGTCAAGAAAAACATCATTTGTTTCTTGAAAGAAAAAAAAAAGGTAAGTATCAACGCACTATGTCAAAGTGTCAATACTTGAAAAAAAGTAAACCGCCAAAATATACGAAAAATTATGAATATCAATTTCATATAATTCAGAAAAATGGATAAATCGCAAAATGATTTACTCCAGATAACTCTAGTCAGTAGATTATTGCCATCAGAATGAAAACAAATGATCAAAAGTTCAAGTACAGTCAAAAATTCAAAAAGTAAATACATTTGGGGAAGGCAAAAATAATTTTGAAAGTAAATTTCCTACGTACCAAACATCATGAGAGCTATATCAGTACACCAGAGATCCAACAATTAGGCTATATATGCATACATGAAAAGTCTCAAGAAATCAAAAAACTGCACATGAAGAAATACTTTCAAAAACTAAGAGGTTAGTGATCAAAAATGAAAAGCATATAAGAATATGTAAACTATCAACAACAATAGTCACAACTTCAATCAAAAGTTTGATGATATTCGACAAAAATGCTGGGAAACCTAAAGTCCCCAGACTATCAATATTCAACAACAAAAAAAAATATCAAAATATCATCAATCTCAAAAGTACAATGAGAAAAAAGTTATAACTGTCCCCAGCAGTAAATAAAAACTGTAGTAGTATGTGAGACCAAAAAATTCTGGCAATGATCTCGCTGACTACTAAACAAGACAATTTAAAAGTTAATAGTATGCCTATGAAATAAACAGGTGGAAAAATTTTAATCTTTTGATAAAAATTTTAAACATTAAGCAAAAAGTAAGGATGATTAAGGAATTAGAAATTTGAGTACCAAAAGCAATTAAAAATAGAAATGCTGCCAAAGATTGTAAAGAATTTTGAAAACTATGTTCTGTTTGCCAATCTTCCACTAGCAAACCACTTGTCGACAAAGCCAAACACCTATCGAAGCCTCACGTTGCGGGTGCCAATTTATGTAACGCTTCCTTTCCGCAAAAAGTCCAGAAAAGATGGAATGCAATGAAGATTCCAACTTTTCTGCACAATCACAGAAAGGGGGTTACAATTAGCTTCCGGTAGCTCAGTCGGTGGCATGAAGACATCTACAGGCGTGTAGCTGTGTGTCGACCATGGCATGGCTAGAGGATAGAAGAACAAACAGAACACAAAAATTTAACAGATTTTATTTAACAAACAAAAAAAAAGGCATTTTCATTACATTACAATTTTACAAAAATAACAAAATAAGTTTTACATCTTTGGCGCTGCTATAACGCTATCGACTTATCTTTCGCTGGTCCATTTTTACTCGACTGAAGCCAGGATGGCCAGGGGCTTGAAGGGAAGGTCCCAGTTATGAGGGGTGACCTCCATATAGTGGCTTCACAACCAGTTGTAGGCGAAGTTAAAGGCGATGGCGCTGCCAAGGCACATGCATGGGTGAAAATATTGGCCAAGGCTAGGCAAAGTGAAAGGGAAAGAGAAAGGGGGTGGCCCCAATCATTTTTGTCCTATACGGACACACATTCTAGAAAATTCTAGCACATGGTGTTATATAACCTTGTGCTACTGAGAAGAAATTTTTAGCCGTTGTTCGATCGGCGGCTCAGGTGAAAAGGAAGCGCGAGGAAGATCGCAGATCAGGAACTCCGCATCAAGCGCTCCAAGCGGAAAATTTTCCAAGCAAAAAAGCTAGAGATGGGATTAATGAAATGATAATCGAGAAGTGATTTAATAAATACGATCGGACGGTGAAACCGTTACAAGTATTTGGACGAAAATGACCTAGTTATGCCTATATATAAAATTTTGTGGATTTTGAACTACCACCTTCTAAGGTGTTTGACTGTTTCCAGGCTTCTAAATATTCTTACGTAAATGCATAATATCATGTACACGAGGCAACCTGCACGAAATGAATCCGGTTAACTTGATAACCCGCAACAGCTACAGTTTAGCTGGAAGTTAGTCTGTGTACTGCTCGGTATGCATTTCAATCATTCCCCGTCGAGTTCTCAAGAGTGATGAATGTGATTATGAAATATTAATTTCAGGCGTCACTCGACGCTTGGCTCGGCTCCCTTACGGGGAAGAGCCATCCTATTAGACAGAGCCCGGAACGCTCAGATGCCTGGTTCAGTTTCAGCCTGGAGCAGATTTACATTTTGGCATGTTTGGAAGTTTACATTGCTGTGTAGCATCTCTCGCGCTGCCATCGCGTCGCGCTATCAACAAGCCAACTTATTCAGTGGCTTGTATACATACCGGGAGGATTTTCCTCCCGTTCCTTATGCACATGATTATTGCTCATAAAATTCTAGCGCAAGGGGGCATGTAATCACTTATTTCAGCTTGGTTTCAAGCTGTCCAAATATCAACCAGCGTAGTTCTGAAATAAAATGCGGCGTCGGCAAAGGAAACAAAACGAAATACGCAAGGTGTATGATAAAGCATATATATAGTATAAAGACATCAAATACAAATTCGTAAAACCCGAAAGCACCCCAAATTTTAATGACATCAGAAATGACCTAACCAGTAGCATTATTCTAACAAGTATTAGGTTCAATGTAGAGAAGGTAAGCAATCATAAAAACGGCGACGTCAAATTCAAGTAGAGCAATGGTATTATAAAAAAAAATAATCAAATGGTAAATATAATGTACCAGGAACAAGGAAAGTTAGGCGTAAATTCGATATCGCAGGCAATAAACTGATAAAAACCGTCAGGAGCAGTAATTAAAGAAGAATTAATGTCCCAGAATACATTTATTAACCATAACGCAAACGAAATTACTTCTGTGCGATAATCATCGATTACGCGACAAGACGTCAATAACTTGCCTGGAAGTACTCCAAATCGCTAGGCAATCAGATATGCTTTTTCGGGCTGCATACGTGTACATCATTCAAGAAAAAAATCTATTGAAAAAAATCGGTCTATTTATTTGCTTCTAATCCAGAGTACTTTAAAGTATATGCCACACTAGATTTTATCAATACTCTTTTTCACACGAAACAGCTGCTTAATTATTGCAATGGATTTGGATTTTTCATTTTGGTTTAGTGCTTTTTTTCTTTTCTTTTTTTTTTCTCCTTCCTTTTCTGCGAGTTGTAATTTGTTGCATAACTGAGCCATTGTTTAGTTGTAGCAGTTTAGTCAGTTTAAGTTTTTTTCTGCATTCATATTGAGTTTAGCTTAATTTGTATATGACTGATATTGATACAGCTTTGAATATTTTAGAGGATTATAACAATATCACGACCATCAGTTGTTCTAATTTTGATGAATTAAATAGTGTTCTGTTTGAGAGAAGTGATAAGTTAAACTTCACTATACTTCATTACAATATCAGGAGCTTGCAAGCTCACTATGATGAGCTTTGTATAAACATAGCGGTGTTAAATAAGAATAAAAATATAGGTATAATTGTTTTGAGTGAGACCGGGAATATCAGTAATATCGACAGTTATAAAATAAATGGCTTCCAAATTTACTATAATGAAGCCAAGTATAATAAATGCGATGGGGTTTGTATGTATGTAAGAGATGACATTTCGGTAAATGTTTCCATAAAAATGATAGATGTAGTGACGGCATTGAATTGTAGCTTTATTTTCAACAATAACAGTTTCAGTATTACTGGTATCTACAGGCCTAATCCCACGAATGTACAGGATTTTGTAAACAATTTGGATTCGTATTTGAGAAGTACTGCAAACTGTGACATTTCGTTGTTGGTGGGTGATATAAATATAGACTTATTGAGAGAACATGAATACAGTAATTTAAGATACGTGAATATGTTGCAACAGAACGGGTACATATCTCAGATTAATACACCTACTAGGGTAGATTCTAACTCATCTACGATTATCGACCACATATTTTTGAAGGCAAACAGATTTAAGGTCTCTGAAACAGCAATTGAGTGTAAACCAATACTTTTGGAAAATTGTATGACCGATCATTATCCTGTTTTGTTCAATTTTAGGTATTTGAAAGGAAGTAATTGTATCATTAATAAAAACAGCTATGAATTTAAAAAAATTGATGAGAAAAAGTTTACAGATTATTTACAAGTGGTGACTTGGGACAGTGTTTTTTCAGAGAGTGATGTCCAAAAAGCAACTGATAACTTCTATAATGAATTATATAAAGGCATAGATCATTCAACTTATTATTTAAAAAAGACCAGAAAACGCAAGCCGTGGATGACTGAAGGTATTCTTACTTCGATCAAGAAGAGAGATGAGTTGAAACAGAGTTTGACGAAAGATAATGATAATTTGATATTGAGACAGTCCTATATCTCCTACAGAAACAGAGTAACTAATCTTATTAAGATCTCTAAAAATCAATATTATACACAAAAACTCATTTTAGCTGGTAATAACTATAGGAAGAGCTGGGATGTTATTAATGAGGTAACTAATGCTGGCAAAATAAAAAAAAATGGCGTAAAATCAATTAATCACAATAATCAGCAGCTGGACGCTCCCACTGATATAGCCTGTGTTTTTAATAAATATTTTGTTGATATAGGTGAGCAAATAACAAGTCAGATTGATCAAAACTCAATTCTTGATACATCAGATCCTCATGTCGTCAACATTGCTCACTCTATGTTTCTAACTCCAGTTGATAACATAGAGTTACAACAAATAGTTTGTAATCTGAAAAATAATAGCGCACCCGGAAAAGATGGCTTACACACTAAAACTATCAAGATGATCATGAAGTATATCAGTCACCCTATAACTCACATTATCAACCTCTGTTTCAAATCCTCAGTAATTCCTCGCCAATTTAAAGAAAGCATAGTTACACCAATATTTAAATCTGGAAGTAAAGACAATATGTTCAATTATAGACCTATTTCAGTTATCAATGTATTTGGGAAGATTTTTGAGAAGTGTTTGAATAACAGACTTTGTTCTTTTCTTGAGAAATATGACATAATATCGAACTATCAATTTGGGTTCCGCAAAAATTGCAATACAGGGCAATCTCTACAAGAACTTACAGGACAAGTGCTTGAAAATTTTCAAGATGGAAATAAGACTGTTGCAGTTTTCCCAGATCTTCAAAAGGCTTTCGATTCAGTATCTCATACAATTTTACTAAAGAAACTAGAAAGTGTTGGAGTGCGTAGCGGAGTTCTGAACTTATTTGAGAACTATTTGGCTGATCGATTACAACAAGTTCAGGTAGGGTCAGATTTAAGCAACATTCAAAAGATCAAAATAGGTGTGCCTCAGGGGACAGTTTTGGGACCAACACTGTTCCTCATATACATAAATGAACTACTTCGATGTAATTTCAACTGTAAGATGATATCATATGCAGACGATACTGTTTTAGTTTGCACTGGTCATTCATGGGACGACGCAATACGGAATGCCGAGTTGTCATTAAATAAAGTCAAATGCTGGTTGGATAACAATTTACTTAAACTTAATATCTCTAAAACTAAGTATGTAACGTTTTCTCCAACCAAAGCAGGCATGCCATTACACCACCGAACATTAATTATAAATGATAGTGCTGACACTGTCGAAAGAGTTGAAGTTAGATACTTAGGAATCATTGTTGACAGTAATTTAAAATGGCAGAGCCATGCCGAGCTTTTGGCATCGAAATTAAGGAGAATTATTCATAAGTTTTTCATTCTTAGGAATATTTTAAGCAGAAAGAGTCTTCTCTCAATATATAACTCGTTTGTGGGGTCTCTACTAACTTACGGGATAAGTATTAGGGGAGCCGCATACACTAGTACTTTGAAAATACTACAAACCACGCAAAATTATATTGTCAGGACTATTTTTCGTATCCCATGTAGGTCAAGTTGCAGATTTGTTTACATTGAAAATGATCTTTTGAATGTTAGAGGTTTATATATTTTGCTGCTCTAAAATTTGTTCACTCCCGAAACAATGTTCCAACCAGCCACGCTTATGAAACAAGAACTAAAATAAATATAAGTTACACCTATACCAGAGTGAATAAATCTGTTTGCCAAAAATGCATAAAGTTTGATGGGATTAGGTTGTATAATAAATTACCCCTAGAATATAAAATCCTCTCGAAGTATAGTTTCAAAAAAAGAATTAAAAAGTTCATCTTAAATAACTTTGACATGCTTGCATCGACGGTAGCTTGACTCAACTCAGTAATTTCGTTTCTATCTAATGTTTTTTTTATTTCTTTTTTTTATATACATTTGCTCATAATATACCTTATGACCATTAGCCATGCATTGAATTTGTATATTGTATGACACACACAAGCTTATAGCTTAGGTGTCTATTATTTTGTAGTAAATTGTAGTACTCTTGTTTCTCTGCTTAACCTTTACGCAAAATTTTTATTGTTTAAACAACATAGTTTGACCTTACTCGAAATATCCCTCTATTATCATATTTCAGATATTCATATTTTATGTACTCTATATTTATACTTCTGAGTGTTTCTAGTATGCTTCTGTACTATTGTTATGAATTTTAGATTTGTTTATGCAGAAACGTAATTTAGAATTTGTGACGACAAGATCCAGACATTTACCCTTTACGAAAGTATACAGAATTTTCACAATTCATATACCGTTACTTGCTGGTTCTAGATCTGATGCTAGTATCTTTGCTCAGATTTCTGTTGCAATCTTGGTTATTCAGGGTAGCAAGAGCATACAAGCTCATGTATTTTTGAAGCTTTTTTTATTTAAATTGTACTGAAGGTTGTGTTTAATTTGTAAGTTATATTGGTTTTTGAATTTGAAAAAAATTTTGAATATACGTTTTGGACTGTCTATAATATCTGAGTAGTTAAATTATTGCAGCCTGTTTGCAAATACATATCTGGACCCAAAACTGAAACTGGAGCAGTAAAGTTGCAAGAAGCATCTCGTAAAAAAAGGGATGTGAACTAGTGGGTTGGAACTCTTCTGATAAATCCAACATAATTCTGGACCTTATAATGCAGTCATTCTAGCATACAATCCCAGTAATATAATTTGACATTTTTTAGCGTCCAGTTTACTTAATCAGTGGCAGATTTAGGTTCGGTTGTAGAGAAAGGAGTTTGGAGCATTAAGTTATCAGATAAAGAACATTGTTTCCCTTTATTAGGGTACGTTGTTGACTTATTGACAATTAGAGTACACGTTTTTGGGCATGTTTTCCTTTGTTTTGGAATAAGTAATAACATTCAAATAACTCATATAAAAAAGCCCCCCCACTACTTATTCTATGAACGGGTCAAGCAACCTGAAATTCGGCATAATGTAATGAACTTATGAAAGCCATATTGTATCTTAAAATTGGTCGATAAAAATTTCAAGATGGCTGCTTGCCGCCTTTGGGACATTTTTCAATGGGAAAGATAGACTGATAAATCACTAGTTGTCAAACTGGCAGACTGACAGACTGTCGAAGTTGAGTTTTTGGTACATTGAGTCGCTTGTAACTGAGCAAACAATTATTAAAACTTTATGGGCAATCAATCTTCTTTTATATGTGCAATAAAATATGGGACGTCCCGTTGGAGAAAATTGACAGATTTTGACAATTTTACCAAGGGCTTCACTAAGCCGTTAGTTCCTTATCTTGAGAGATGGTGATTGAGTTATAAAATACTCGTCGTACACGACCTCCCATTCCATTTAAAAAGATGTTCTAAAATGGTGCCCAGTCTTGAAATTTTGACTGCCACTTTTACGCTAAAATATGTTATTCATGTATAAGTTTTAATACTTTAAATTTCAGCTTGCTAACTTGACTCGTCCAAAAATAAGTAGGGGTCCAATTTTCATCTTTATTTTTAATATAAAGTTAGAAGTTGTTTCTGAAAAATATTTATATGAATACCCGCCTCAGTAAGCAATAGTAATTAGACGTCTTGGGGGATCAATATTTTCAATAGCTTTCCAAATGGTGCCTCAGCTGCTACAGCTTGGTCTGTTGGCACACAGCTTACTTTTTTGAAATCTCAAGGTGTTAAATCTGGTCGGCAGCATAGCCTAACGGGATGATTAAATGCCGTGGCGGTCAGTTCTTACACTTTTCTCGTGCGAATGCCAGGAGAAGTGTGGGAGTCCATCAATATCATCTCTAAAGTATTAACTTTGTGATGAAACATTTAATGATACGGAAAAACTATTTTGGATAAATATTCTTCCTGAATAGCTCAAAATCATATCCTTGTATACATACCTACTATGTTTTATATTTGTATTCAAGATATTTTTATACAACATATTTTTACACCTATTTTTGTATACCTTTGTTTTAAATAATTATTGCAATGATGAAAATGTGTATGTTTTCTATTTTGTACATTTGTTGTGAGGTGAAGTGGCAGAATAATAATATGATAAACTTCGCCCCCAATAAAGACGATTTAACGTACAGGATGTTCATTTGAAGACTTCCCGCCACAGATTTATCGAATACTGACGATTGAAAGAAAAAACCGAGACACGTCAAAAGATTTGTCAAGGGGGACAACTTTTCAACCAAAAACTACCTCACCCCCTTTTACCCTTGGGCACCAAGGTCAATCCCTAAAAAATCTTAAATGACAAGCAGTATCGAGTAATAGCTTGTCTAAAAGGTCCCTCGGAGTCCTTTATTTTGACGTTTGATTTTTTTAAATCAGTCGAATCGTTATCGAGAAAATTGGAAAAATCTTTATTTATCTTAATTTGTTCAGATAGAAAACAAAAACACACGAAAGTATCACTTTTTATTTCAATAAATGTTCAAAGGGTTTGCCAAATCTACAACTCGTTTATAATTTAAAATAGAAACTACCCAACATGAACAGCAATTCGGAGATTAGACGTGGCAACAGCCAAATAACAACCTGAATTTTTTCCGCATTCTTTGCATAAACACAGTTATCATGGGCGAACTGTATTTATTGTTATACCTGTTTAGTTAATTGTTGCTAAGGGAAAGAAAGAATTTAATTTGCTGTCAGTTACCTTTGTGACAATCTTGGGATAGTGAAAATTAATTTAATGATTCAGATTTTACTTCCGAAATGGTTTACACACTAGCCCAAAGAGTGTAAATGATTCTAATTTCTAATGTCCAAAATCAATGTGCTCGGCAAACTGCCGCCACGTTTAACGCCAGACATCCGGGGAAGATAACTTTGGATATGTCTCGACCTTGTTACTAAATTCACTTAAACTGGATCTGTTGCAAATAAAAGACGTGACCAACTCCTAATACTTCATTACGCAAAATTGTTGCTGCGACTGGTAGTACATTAGGCTCTGTACTCACTAAATTCCATATATTTTATCAATTCAAAATGAAAATATTGCAAGAGTTAACCGAAGATCATTTCGATAGGCGAGTTGAGTTTTGTGAACAGATGACTGTAGCGATTAATGATAATACCATTCACGTAAAGAATCTCTGCTTCAGTGATGAATGCACATTTCATCTAAATGGATTTGTTAATAAGCATAATTGCAGGTATTGGAGTAATGAAAATCAACAACAACATCAACAAATAGGTTAGGTATTTATCGTTGCGTTCCGATGCACATTTGCTAGAGCAGTTCGGGAGTGTCCCACTCCAGGTGCATACAACTCTCAATTGAAAAGCACTGGACAGCGGCTTAAGTCTATTTCAATTTCGTATACTCTCCGAATTTATCAACATTTGCTGCACATATTGTATTAACTATTGTTAAGAGATAAAGGTTCCAAAATTGTGTCTGACTAGCGTAAAAGCTTAAATTTAATAATTTAATCTTAATAGATAAGCCAATATCCCATAATAGTTGGTTAAACTGGTTTGCTCATAGTCAGAAAATTATTCATAATTAATTCCAGTTCAAGGGTCTCCCTATCGTTCATCGTCTCAGGATATGAATGACCCTAGGAATGTATCAACTTGCCGGAAAACCGTTTTTTTAACATATT